TCAGGTAGGTGATGGGGTTATGCTCTAGTCGAGGCGATTATGGACTGTTTAGCCTTTTAGAGCCAGTGGGGACGATGTTGCCAGATAGACACCTTTTTCTTTTGACGAGTCAGTGGATTGTTGTGACTGAGGTCACGAGTCGGGTGTGCACGGTGATCGAGACAATATCGTCTAGGAAGGTAGTAATGGAACGGGTGGTAAATTGTCATTTTATGGCATATGGGTGTGACGGGATGTGGTGTCCGATGGGTTGTGATCATTTCCAGTGTTGGTATGTTGTGAGCATTTATACTATTGTCTAATGGTTGTGTTATAAGTTGTATTTTAGTACTCGACGAATGGGTGGTAGGGATCTGATTGGTTTTGGTTAGCATGAGCGTTGCGGGGTATCGTATACGAGGTTTCTGTGTTGATAGTGTATGACGGTCCGTTATTGGCGAGGTCGCCTAGAATTGAGTTCGTAGTTCTGTACGGGTATCCATTTGGTTCTTCTTTGTGTGTAAGGAGTTTAGTTTATCTCAGGTGAGATTGGGTGTCCATGGTTGGACAGTTGGTGTGTAGCATGTGACAAGGTGTTGGGTACATTTAGGTGCAAGTCATCAGTCCTTTATGAGAGCGGGGTTTGTTACCCTTTCCATTTGTTTTAGTCCTAGCAAGAATGCCGTTTGTCATGAGTCTTGTTTTTCATTTAGGAGTTGTGCGTGTTCGTGAGTGGACGGACCTGTGTATGATTTGTTATGTTGCTGAGTTCATCGGTAAAGATTTGGTTGACTCATTCCCATAGAGGGAGGTGTAGTCTTTGATTTTTGTAGTGCTTGTTTTGAGGATGGTTTTGACGGCATGAGTTGCTGAATAGGGGTTGTGTTTCCAGTGTCTAATACTTTCGGTGATGGCCAGGGGTGTGTTGTGAATTATAAGCTTGAGGATGGTTAGGTGATGTGATGTGAGTCATGTACTCGGATGTTTTTATAGGCGTTTGATTCGAACAGTATCTCGAGGACAAGTGTCGATGTCGCCTTAGAACTACGTGAATAAAGAAAGTGAATGTAGGATTCCGTTGAGAATTAATAGGAAGATTGATTTTGGTTTTGAGGTTTCAGGCATGAGACGGTCGTATTGTGTGTTTTGAAGAAGTAAGAATTGAACCGAATGATGTTATGGAGTCGTCTACCTGGTAAGGGTGTTATAAGATCATTAGAAAGTTTTTACGCTGGTCGATGATTATGACGTTTGGTGCTGTGTTATTACTAGTTTGTTAGGGTTGTATGATTAAAGTATGATTGGGATTTAAAGAATAAGTATGTGACTGTTTAGCCGTTACGGTTACGTAGAACGATGGATTGATAGCGAGTGAATCTCATGGTTGTCTTGCGGATTGTATGAAAATGTGTTTGAGATTTGGACCTGAGGACAGAAATGACGTCTGTGCTTAGACCGGATCGATGATGAGAATGGCCTGACCAACCATTTCTCCTGAATCAGTCCCTCTTAGCACGATGTCGGGTCAAAGGTCAATGATTGTTTCAATTTGTTAAAGGAAGTGAGAGCACGGTATTGCGCGTTGTGTCGGTGTGACTGTGTGGATTCGGATGATTTGTTTTGGGTGACGAAGTGTATTAGGTAATACTAAGTGTCTGGTATAGGGTTTACGATTTGATTATTAATTCTTGAAGATTTTGTTTTGAGGATTTGTGACCTGGGTACAGGATAATTGGTTTTATTGTTCTGGTGACTTATGATTATGTAGTCATTGGGAGATTCATTATTTAGTCATCTTGAGGATGATAAGTTTAGTGATTGTCGCTTGGTGTGGTTGGTAGTCGTTGTACGGGTATGTAATGGTGTAGTTAAGTGTGAGGTAGTGAGTGTTTGGTCTGACAGAGATGTGTAGATTAGAGTTGAGCTTGATTGTGAGATGGACAGGGTTCCTCATTTAGGGTCTTGCATGTCCTTTTATAGGATGAGTTGAGATAGGATGTTGTTATGTTCAGGAGTCTTGTGACCATTTTTCTTTCGGGCTCCGAAGTCTTGTGTAGCGGTGTAAAGGGGATTAGTGTTGGTTCTAAGTCAAGTGTAGAATTCAGCGGGTTTTGTGTATGATGTTGTGAGTAATGAGTACCCTCATAGGGTGGTGAACATTGAGTTCTTCTGACAACAGTGTGTGTTTGCTTATTGGCATTGGGTGCCAAAGGCAATAAGGTTATTTAGTTCTTAGCTCTATAGTTTGGTGAGGTGTTTCTCGGGAAGGTGTGTGGCTGTGGGCCTTATTCTATAAGGAGGGTAGATTTCGAGGACGAAATCTCTTAAGGAGGGTAGAATATAATGTTTCCAAATTTTACCATTTTTTAATTTCTGATTTTTTTTGATTTTTCGAGGGTATTTTTGTCTTTTCACGTTTCGCGTACCGGACACCGTGGAGTGTGCCGGGTGTGTTTGGAGAATTGTTTGGAGCATTCTATTTAGTTCAGGACTCTTGAAAATATAAGGGTTGTCATTTTTGCATTTTATCATTTTTCGAGCTGAACAGTCTCGTGTGGAACTCACTACTGGAATTGTTGTACACAAGAGTTGTGTCTTGGGCCATTTGCATATAATACATATTTAATTGTGTACAATTTTAATGTTGTAAGTTATTTTGTGTGGTTGTAGTAATTGGTGCACATGTATATATATTTGTGGTGAGAAAAATTAATTAAATGAGATTTTGGTAAGTGAGGGGACCCACTATTATCACCTTCGTGGTCTAGAGACCACACTTGGTCTCTTATTTCCTCTCTCTCGTAAATCTCTCCCTCTCCCTCTCATTCTTCTTCTTTTTCTTCTTCTTCTTCATTTTTTTTTTTTTTTTTTTTTTTTGCTACAAACTAAAGTTTCAATTATTTTCTCATTTCTTGGAGTTTTCGGGAGCTGTTTACGGCAAAACGGATAGCATGGCAAGATCTACGTGTGAGTACAAGCAATTTTAGTTTTGGCCTCCCCTAGGATTTCAAGTTTTGAGACTCATTTTGAGGGTTTTTCTACAATTTGAGGTAGGGGTGTTCTAATACATAAATTCTTATGCTTTTGTGAGTTTTCTTGTTTAATTTGATGTTAAGTATGCTTAATTTGTATAATCTCTTACAAAACTAGTTTAAATATTGGTTATGGAACATGTGACTACTTGTTACTTGTTGTATAGTGATTATATATATATATATATCTATGTGAAGTTAAATTCATGTTTTAAATACTTACCTTGTTAAATTGATGTTGATTGAAAGCATGAATTATGTTTTTTTTGGAAAATTATGTTGGATGGTATGTGTGAAAATTTTATTGTTGAATTAATGATTTGAAATATGGAGCATTCTTGTATCCATTGGGAAGAGAAATGGGAAAAGTGTTTTCAAAACAAAGGAAATTAAATTTTGGGAAAATGTTTTCTAAAAGCATTTGCGAAATCCCGGATGCCTAGGAGGCGCCTAGTGGTTCGTGGTGTTAGTGTGATCTAAAGGGGGTTAGAGAGAGACTCTAGTGTGGTTGAGCTACCCAGACGACGCCATGGAGGTGCCATGTGGTCGGGGAAAAATTTAGCCAATCCCTCCCTCGTGACGCCTTGGAGGTGCCTTGGGTCAGATTATACTAATGGTTTGGATGTTGAAACGGATATGTTTCGGAAATGGGAGGCGATATGAGCATGGCATTGCACTACATTGGCATATATGGCGTGTTTGTGACTTGGATGGCATATGTGTTTATATTGGATGTTGTGGTTATGGTATACATCCCCGGTATAGTATGATCCCGTTCTCTTGTTTTTTATTCTATATGTGGATTCACGAGGTCATAAGAAGTGTGCCTTAGACACTTCCTACTAAGCTTATGTTCATCCCATTATTTTTAACATTTTTCAGGATACGAAAAAGAGGTGGCGGATGACGATCCACCACAAGTTTAGATGAGATTGAAGATTTATTTTATTTTGCTATCTTTTGTATTAGAATTATAACATATTGTAAATTTAATCTTAACTATTTTGTGAAACTTTAATTTAATTTGTATAATGTTGTAAGCTATCGACTTTTAAATTTTAGCTACATTTATGGACTGTAACTTGATGTAACTAAGGTGTGTTCCTTGTTTGGATGAGATGGAGGAACGAGACTTTTTATGTGAATGTAATCATTTTGGGAATGTGATATAATAATTGTATTGTGCGTTGGGACATGATATGTTAGTTTCAAGGTCTAATGAGGCCATTGTATTTTTATATATTTCAACAGGTTGTAGATGGACTTTTTTTGCATAGGTCATGCTGAAATTTTATATATTTTATTATTATTATTTGGTATCTTCTTGGGTCGTTACAGGTGTGGTGTTGCTTGAATTGTTGTGTGCAAAGAAAATAATATCTATGCAATGCATAGGGATGGCAATGGGGCGGAGTTGGGATAGAGTTGGCTAAACCTTAATCCGCCCCATTAAAAAATTCGTAATACCAACTCCGCTCCAACTCCGAGACGGGTTTATAATTGGTATACCATCCTCGCCCCTACTCCGGTAGACAAAATACCAACTCCGCCCCGCATACTCCGTTTAATTGCGGTAAAGTTGAAACTGTTGAATTAATTCTTGGACTTGGGATAGATTACTAAGATCTTGAATCTTTAAAGATTGAATCACGTGCACAATTGTAAAATTTTAGTAAGTAGTGATTCTAGCGAATATTTAGTCAAAATATATTAATGGACACTTAAATTAAATATATACTTTATATATATATATATATATATATATATATATATATATATATAATCGGGGTTGGGGCGGGGGCGGGGGCGGGGGTGGGGGTGGGTGGGGGCATCACTAAATCCGCCCCCACCCCAAACCCGCTTCGGGTTTTGAATTCTTTTACTATATCCGTCCCAAACCAATTTATGGAGCTACCAAATCTGCCCCATTAGGAGCGGAGCGGGGCAGAAACCCAGCGGGTTGGAAGAAATTGCCATCCCTTGCAATGCATGTGGGCAGTAAAGTGCATAGAAGCAGGGTCAGTTGGAAAGATCATTGATCCATATCTGAAGGGGAAGATATCGCCTCTTTGTTTGAGCATATTTGTGGAAATTGCTAGGAAATGTGTGCTTATGAGCGGATCTGAATGGCCTCCAATGGCTGATGTTGTGTGCAACTTGGAGCTTGCTCTGGAACGGCAGGAAACTGCGGAGCCTATGCATGAGGTTGGTAATAGTTATCAATTGTAATAACAACTTTATTTAGTTCACCACATGTTTGATATAATTGCTCTACCAATGTGTGGTCTGGAACTCCGGGAGCGTGTATGCATGCTGAGACGATTTGGACACCAAACTCGGATTATCCAACTTGTTCACCGTCTTACTCTTTCCAAGTTCTTATTAGCACTTGTAAATATTTTACTTTTATTTGATTTGTCATTACACTAGTACTAAACACTGTCGATTCTACAATATCTGTTTAAACCTTGTAAAAAATATCCTAAATTTTCTTTAAACTAATCCTCACTCAGTTTATGACAATTGGTTTACAAACCAAATTTTTTTTATGGATTTTCTTAAATATGTAACTCCATAATTACAAGTAACATTTAGCAAATTACATTAATTTTTACCTATTATTCTACTTATTATTTTTCACTCATCTTCTCTGCAGGGACTAATAGAAGCAACCGACTATAGTTCTGAGTCATTCTCATCAGAGTGGCCTCCTTACTCCATTTCTTATTCTTCATCATCTTTGCAAGACATGGAGCTCTCTGGCCCACGCTGAATCACTTGTGTTCTTGTAAAACTTAATAGAGATTGGATTCCATCTTTTTAAGATACATAAATATATATATAGAGAGAGAGTGTGTGTTTTAAAGCTAGATATGCCATCATCCAAAGTTTGTAGCTGTTGTACACTACTAGTGTATCAGAGCTCGAAAGAACTTTGACGTTAATTTCTTCAAGAGAAGCTATTGTTCAGTCTTTCGCGCAGGGAATGATTTTACGTTGGAGTAGATGGTGTGTATTTTGATTTGATGGTAATACAATAAATGTCATTTGTAGGCTATAATGTTTCTGATTTTAAAGCATATGAAAATGTCTAGAATTTTTTGGCAGATTTAAAAATCAACAATGCAGATTGGAAACAATTACTGGAAATCGCAAAACATAAGTGAAAAGTATGTATATATATATATATTTGAAACAAAATTCTACTGAAAACAATGTAACACTATTCTTGTTCTTTTTCCTTCTTTGAATAACTTTTACTGAAAATTTTATTTATGGATGAAGACATTAGTCGCTTATTGAGAAGTACTGTAGAAGCAATTCTTCCCGTGAACTTGAGTTCCTAAAAGCTCTGTTCCGAATGTGCACACTTTTGAAACTTTTGGTCAATTAAGCTTGATCAAGATGACTATTGCAATACAATATAATTTTGAAAAATTAGATTCAAAATTCAACACTTAAATGGAATACTTATAATTCTCATATATAATTTTGTTACCAGAATCTTTGTAGAAATTCTCAATTTCCTTAGCAAGAACCTTTGCCGGAATCATGGCTTTTATCTATTCTTATAGATTATTTACTGCCACAAATATACACACACACACACACACACACACACATATATATATATATATAATCCTACACGAATAAACTCATAAAAATCAAGTCTCATGAGAATACCTTGCTTTTATTTTTTAAGTGTCTAAAGGATTCGTAGTATAACACTGCTGCTGTTTGTACATGTCAGTAAGAGTAATTTAATTATAAACTCTTTTAGTGGGGTTTAATTATTTCTCTTTAATTAATATATACTTCGATCTCAAGTAAGGTGTGACCGGATGCAAAGTAATGAAGGTATCTTGGAAATAGAATTGGTTGAATTAGAAAGTACAATATATATTTTACTAATATATATTGTTTAGATTTCAATTTTAATTTTAAAGTATGGATTCAAGCTCCCAAGACGACAAATTATATTATTATGTTTTTTAGATTGGCTTGTGATCTTTTAGTTTCTTTGCTCTGGACTCGTGGGCTTCTGTTTCCAGCTTCACGGTTTCTGCCATGATATGTTTACTGTTTTTTCTATATTTATTTCTTGTAAAATATTTTAATATTTTCGTTAATTAGAAAGTACAATACATATTTTACTAATATATTTAAAATTATAATTATTTTATTTTATTTTATTAAAAGTTTGGAGAAAAGGGATAATGGACGGGAGATTGGAGAGGGGAATAAATTTAACTTTGGGAAAGATAAAGTCACTACAATTTGATTGGAGAGGGGAATAAATTTAAAAATAAAAGACATTTATAAAACGAGAAAAGAATCTCATTTATGTATTTGTGTTATGAATTATGATATACACATAGGTCTTTCATTTTTATTTAACTACTCAGTCTTTACATATAATCATTCAATTGTTAAAGTTTTACTGAAAAAAAAAAAAAAAACAAAAAACTGAACTCCCACGATCATCCTGTCAATTAGGATAATGATTTGATAGAATTTGATTTAAATAAAATAATTATAAAATGAAGCTTATTATTTGTTTGAATAATAAAGTTTAGGGAAGGTCAACATTTTGTGGTAAAATTGTACAAAATAATATTAAAAATTGTTTTATTTTTATGTCCCGGTGTTTCTCTCTTACCTAATTTTAGCTAAATTATTTCAATATCCATTGTAAAACTTTCATTCAGATAATATGAAATAAAGCAAGGACAAATTTGCTAATCTAGATTTCAATATATAAATATAGGTGAAGGTACAGAATGATGTCCTTCAATGCGTTAATTAAATTTACACAACACACATAACACGCCAGCGTGTCACTCAAGGCAAATGGACTTGACTCATACTCGATCCGATCGGCCCATCCTGAAGCGCACAAGCAAGAAGTCAAGTCAGCCCATGAAGAAAGAAGGCCCAAAATGATACAATTTGGAGATGATGAAAGGAAATTAGGGTATGACCGTAGGAGAAAAGATGTATAAACAGAGTAAGAAAGGAAATAAGAGTTGATGTAAGAAAAAATATGTGATATCCCCTAATTCTAGAGCAACGGGTGATCAAGTCCGAGCACAGATCTGAGAGAAACCAGACAATTAATATTTAAATGAACACAGAATACTAAAGAATTAAGAAATAAATAATAAAGACTGAAAGAATTCCAAATCTTAAATCCTCAAATTTAAAATGATTTAAATCCAATAATCTAAAACTTCCAATATTATTAAACAACTCGGGAATCCATTTAGTGGACCCCTATTAAAATCCCAAACTGAAACGTAAAATACGGACACAAAATCCAAACTAAAACATGAAAAGTAATCCTACGTAGTCGGAGGAGTGAATGACTGTATTTGCTCAGCATGATCAAGCTCTAAGCCTAGAACTGATAAACACCTGAAAAATAAGAGTAGGTCAGGCCCACTAGCAAGTTCTACTCTACTACAATTCATATAGAGACCCGATACGTAGATGCATCCTAGATATCTCAGCAATAACTAAAATAGTCCATATATGTATAAGTACACACTATAAGACGCTCACTAGCCTATAGTTCTGTCTTAGTCTGAATAGAAGATAACATGCAAATCGCACATCACGTGGGCATGTATACTTAGACCTACCAGGGAACAACAATTATATCCAGTTATCTATCCTAGGCGATATACGCACCCTAACCATGATCCTGAGACCCAAGCTCATATCACGGTACCATAATCATATATATAAAATCTATCTAAAACAAGGTATGTCATTCAACTGTTTATTGACTTGACATTAATATAAGTGGGACTTAACTTATATAGTTAATCTAACTTATTTCAGAATAGGTAGGACTTAGTGTTTTGAACTAATCCATCTCCAGAATAGGTAGGATTTAACATTTTAGATTAATCCATCCCTAATATGCCACCGTCCCATACCGGTGCATATACATATATATAAGTATGACTTAACTTTTATAGTTAATTCAACTTATTTCAGAATAGGTAGGACTTAGTATTTTGAACTAATCCGTCCCTAGTATGCCACTGTCCCATACCAGTGCATACAATTCACAAATCAAATGATTGATGCACTAAATGATAAATTTAATCATCAACCTTATTCCCAAAATAAGCATAAATAAAGTCTAATATGTATATGACCAAATTATGCATCCAATACAAGATTTAAAAATCATATCACAGTCCGTTAAATTGCTAAAATAAAAATTAAGCAATTATATCCTTTATCCGTTAACAGCATGCAAGATTGTTTAAACTTTCATACTGTTAAATCTATTAGCATAAAGACTTTATTTATGCAATATGGGTTCTAATATAACATAATATAATGTTTAGAGTCCTTACTAATAATCCAAAACAGTCCAGAAACCTCAAAAATACCAAAACAGTCCATAAATCCACGTCCAGTACATAATTAGGCATGAGAGCAAGCTTGCACAAGTTGAGAGCCAGCTCTCAACCATTGGGAGCCAGCTCCCCTACCTTGGGAGCGGGCTCTGTGACCTAGGGAGCCGGCTCTTTCTCTCATAGAAAGCTGTAGACCGTTCTGGTTCATCTTTTTCGCCTCCAACGACTTTGCAGAACCTTCTGTGATGTCTAATACAATTTCTAGGGTTCAATTCATGTCCCAAAATTCCTCAGAACACATATGAGCAAATAATTTATGCGAAGAAACAAATTGAATTTACAACACATAAATGGTTAAATTCTGATTTAAAAAGCATACAGGATTAATTTAACATTTGATTAAAATCCTAGAGATCATCTAGGCATGCACAGAACATAGGTTAAGGGGAAAGAGTAAGAATAAAACTTGCCTTTAGGTTTTAGTTCGAAACCTTACACCGTCGTCTCTAAGTTTTCGGCAAATCCCTAGACTATTCTCCTCCTCTGTTGCCCCTTGGTTCAACCCATGAGCAACACTCCTTCCTTCCTCCTTGAGCCTCTCTGTTTTTCTCTCAAGTCTCTTTCTGTATGTGAATAGGGTTTTCCAACCCTAGACAGACGTATTGTTCTTTATATAGGCTTTAACGAAAAACCTAATTCTACTTACATTAAGAAACGAAACCCTATATTAAATAAAAACTAGTCAGCTATATCAAATACGTGATTATCTAAAAGAATATAAACCCTAACTAAACAATTAATGAAAACAACTAATTAAATCTCCACCTAAGCGTACATAAAAGAAACAAATAATTAAATTAAATCAGTAAACAATTAATTCAAATAATTCATAAATTACATCATTTAAACAATTAATTCTAATAATTCAATTAAATAAAAATAATTAAATAATTAATTCAATTAAATAAAAATAATTACACAATTAGGCAAATAATCAGATAATCAAGTAAAAACGCACTAAAACAATAATTAAAAATATCGAGACTATCCTTTTAAAATTAGGGGTATTACATCGGAGGTGGGTTACTCCTCGACTATGAGCCTGAGAGAAGATTATGGATACCTTCGGACACTTGGGGTCCGAGGTGGGTTACTCCTCGGCTATAAGCCTGAGAAGAGTTGGATTGTACCGAATTCTTAAAGTCCAAAGCATGTACTTCCTTGGCTATTAAAGTCCAAAGTCACCAAGATTGCGTAACTTTCCATAAATGTGACTGGAAGTCTCTTGTCTCGGAGACTCATTTTCTAGCACTTATTGTTAATGTGACACAATTATACTAACTATACACTCTTTTTGTATTTAAATGATGTGGGACAAAAGTAGAGTTTACATTTTGGG